TACTACTACTGCTACTACTAACTACGGCGACGACTCGAAGTCGGAATCAACGACCGCAAGAGAATCGACTTCGGATTTGCAGATGGACTTTCGAAGTTTGAGGCGGCAGCCATGGAAAGGAAAATTTGCCCTACTCGACTTTGGGAAGGGAGGAAGCTGCGGAGCAGCAAAGCCGATGCTAGGCTCATCTAGGCTCTATGTCTTGCGTAGCTTTCGTCGACTGTCTGCCGGATCTTCGGCCAGACTGAGGTATCCATGCCATGAACCAAACATCTTCGTAGAGACTCTGCTGCTGTATGATTCTAGACTCTAGGCGTGGTGTTCGCTTGTAGAGATCATCAGAAACCGTAAGCCGTAAGCGGGCTGAATCTTTCCAGCGGAAACCGATGTGAATCTGCAACTTGTTGGTGGCGATTTCGGCGACTTCGAGCCGTTCAGTTCATGAGTTTGATCGCTGCCTACGGACGGCCCTTTTGTATTCCCCAACTCTGCCCTCGTACTTGCAGGCTCCTACTGGTATGTCTTCCGTATGGACCGATGCTGGAACAGTTTCGGACGTGCAATCCGATGCCAAAGAAGGGGCTTGGGCAAGGGTGTGCTGTTGATTTACCAATAGCAGGTACAAGCTGTCCAGAACGGCTTCCGGCCGTGACGTGGCGCGAGAAGCGGTGTGCTACCAGCGACACTCAACCCCATTGCTTTAACAACAGTTACAGCACACAGAGTCAAATTCCATGAGTCATAAAGCCATCGTGTCCAGGAAAGCCGAGTTCCTAGTCGGAAGAGGTGAAAAGCGATTCTCCTTACTGTAACGATGACGTGCGTGATGGTTTTGCACGGGCAGTGACAACCCGGCGGGGAATTACAGGGATGTGGGATGGATGGATAGATGCGACAGTTGACCAGAAAAAAGCATGCTTGCTGGCACGCACATAGTCTGCAGAGGACCTCAATTCAGGACATCTCAGCACCTCGGACTACACACCCTTGCCTGACCGGAGAGGCTCCGGAGCGATGACCGCAAGGTGAGCCGTCAGGCGAGGCGCGTTTCCGAAGTGCGGTTTCCTTATGCACGCGGAGATGGCAGGCATGTGCATGGAGTGACCATGTGCTCTGTGTCCACCCGAAACTCCGAAATCGACGAGCTTCAAGTGTGCACCTGCAGAGCGTCGACTTTCTTGATGCTGGTGCGCTTTCTAGTCTATATTGTGTCTTTGGCTTTGCCACTATGTCCCGCAACGGACCTGGAAACAGCTTGTAGTAGTTGGTGTTGACCTCAGAAAAATCGGCTCAAAGCTTGAATGGACATGCCAAGCTGCGGTCGAGACGCATAGGGGCAGTTCACTAACCTCGGATTCACAAGTTGCTGGCCGCAGCTTCCCGAAGCATGGCAAACGGTCGTTCACCCGTGCGGTCGCATTCCGCGTGTTGTTGCAGCCAGAATACTCTTTGCGAGTCTTCAAAAGCGCGCAAGTCTTTGGCGCGAAGCTGCAGAAGGCTTCATTCCAGTCGCCATATCCTCGGCAAAAGTCCCGTCTCTCACAGTAAAAGTCGGGCAAAGCCACCTCTAAGGCCAGGTCGAACGATTCGAATGGCATCCCAACCACCGGGTGTAGAGAGCGACTCGACGGAGACATCTGCCCGTCGTATCGCTTCATAACCTGCATTCCACTTCTGCAGATGCTCTCAGCTGACACCGGTGCCAGGCTATGCTTACCAAGAAGCCATCCTCAACATCCACAGCATTGATGATGCCTTCAAGCTCGGAACGAAAAGTTCCGTAATTTTCTTCCTCGGCTCATGCGACAATCTCTGGGGGGGGGGGGGGGGGGGGTGGTGCAAGCAAAGCGATCTCAGCCAGGGCTCAAGAAACACGGCCAGGGGTACTTTGCTGGCGTTCCAGATTGGCTTCGCCGGTATGTCCTCAACCGATGACAACGCATTCAGACGAGACGTCTCAGGATCGCTAAGCTAATGCCATGGTTAGGAGACCTTGCAATGTGCGAATGCAGCAAAGGGTCCGGGTATCGAAGCCTGCACAGAGTGCAACGAAAATTTCTGCCACGGCCCCAAGACAAGAATCGCGTTGTGCGTCCACGAGGCTGGTTGAAGTTCATGTCCCAGGGAGAGGACCAGGTCTTTCCGGCGTCTGCAAATCGCGGCACCGTCTTCAGGTACCTAAGGCGGCAAAGGGGCTTCTATGCCCGGGGCCTTCTTTGCGCAAATAGCGGCCGGTGTGATGACAGAGCCGGGCGGGCGCTGTTCGCGTGAACGCGTCCCGAAAGCGTTTAGAGCAGCACGGCAGCACCGAACATACTCTCATCCACCCATGCATGCATCAATTCATCCATCCACCTTTCCATCCCCCCAAGTACTGAAAAATCAATGTGGCACCCGGACGCACCATGCAGCGTATTGGAATTTACAATGGGTCACACTTACCAGAGGATGCGGACATATCAGTCGCAACGACACGGTTGTCAATTTGAGACCAATGTGTTGGAAAAACCTTAAAAACCTTACCGGAAGACGTCGACACGCCGGCGGCATCAATCAGGTTGACATTTCGAGACCAACAGGAAGCCGATGCTTTGGAATTTACAATGGATCTTGCTTCACGGTGCCACACGCAGCGCCATTTTACGACCCTGCTGCATTAAATCACTTCTGTTTAGGTATGGAAGCAAGCGGCTCCAGGAGCTGGGTGGCACGTTCCCGGTAGATGGAGGTCACGGCGGAGCCGCTTGGCTCCGTTTCCTGCAGCCAGGCGTACAAAATGGCAGGCTGACCTGAGCTCGCATTGGACCGAGAATAGCGACAAGAAGCTCTCAGAGGACCAGAAATCCTCAGAAAGGAAGAATGCAAGTGTCATAAGATCAACAAAGAGCGCAGACTGAATCATCCTGCCGCATCGAATGAGATATGTCGAAACAAGCCCAGTCTCTTACAGTGTCACGCAACTCAGCCCAGAACATTAGCCAACTGGAATACGATCATGGGCAGCAGGCATTTCAGCAGAGGTGCTTGGATGTTCAAGGATTCAATCGCCTCTCAACAGCAAGACTAACCATCATCGTCATCATCGAGACAGTAGTGATAGTCATAGCAACGGCACAAGAGTGCAGAAGTGTGAATGCATCAGGCTTGGAACACCGCGTGTTGCTTGCTTGCAGAGGTTTCTATCGCCGATCACAGGACCCGGTCAGGGCGTCTCTCAAGCATGCCCTATCCGAGTGGGAGATGCCATGAATCCACGAGCACAAACGGTAAACAACCCAATTTGACAAGACAGAGTCGGCTATAGTCTGGCGGGCAGCTTGTCTTCAATCATCGCTTGTATGTAGGCAGCTACTTAGACTACTGAAGCATGCTGAATCCATTTCTTTCCAAACAGATATTATGGGAACTGTCCGTCTGAGATTGACAAGAGCGCTGGTTTCATCTTGTCTCGACGCTCAAAATCCTAAGAGTTTTTTTTTCCGACTCGCTCCTTCTCTGACTGCTAGAGGACAAGCTGTGCGCCCGGCCAAAGCGAATGTCGCAACCCAGCTGCAGCCAGTATTCCGTCGGTAGGTCACGGGAGCCTGGCTCATTTCTCTGTTGCACGGCAGAAACGTACCTGAAACTAACACAGTCTCGAATGGAAGGTGAGGGCAAGTGACACCCCGCATAGTTGATACTGATTTCGAACAGCCTCAAAATGCAGATTATTCAGCACGGGTTGCGGCAATGCACACGGCTAGCACAAGCCAAGAAGCTGAGCAGACAGTGCAATGTTGTCGCGCATAATGTCGCCTGCCCTGGCACAGGTTAGCTTGCACGGGTCGCAAGATCGCACGATGAGCTACGAGCATCGCCTGTCCTGGTGAACCATGCATAGAGGTACAGCACTTGCGCAGCGCCAAGAGCCAGAGACTGCTCTTCAAAAGCCAACTTGGTAGGGAGTCAGCACAAGATGCAAGCACAAAATGACATTAAGAAATCATACGACACCATGACAGAAAAATGACCTAGCGAAAACTTGCAATCTAGAGGCTCTCGCCATGGCAACAGCATCTGCCAAATCCTTTTGGCCCAAGGACCAGCGGTTCCTGGGCGCAGGCGCGCGCAGCCCAGGAGCTCCGTGCGAGCACAGTGTGAGCACATGTGGGAACTGTCTCTTTGCCAGCTAGGGGTCTCGTTGTTGTAATACCTGGCACTGTGTTCAATGCTGGTGGGATCCTTTGCTCATGGCTCCAGCCTTGTCTCGAAGTACCTCACAGTCTGGTCTGCACACCGAGTCACTTCAATCGGTGCTCATGCTTCAGGGGCACGTCATGGCGGCTTCCTGGTTTCCAAGATCATCCTGCCTCGCTGCACCAGGATCTGAGCAGTGTCCTATCCTGATCCTGCGATTCGACAAACGGCGCCGAGTACCGACTCTGCAAACAGGGGCCACTAGGCACGAGTCGGAGGTCAACCGTTCCTACTGATTCTACTGGCTCTGAGGCAGCCACGAGTATGCGAAAGGCACTTGCAGCACCGCGTCCTGTGAGAAGGACTTCGCTGCAAGTGCAAGGCAGACAGTGCACAGTTTCACCAAATGCTCCTGCGCAAGGCCAGGCCTCAAACTGAACGCAGTTCCATACTTTGCACTCCCCGCTTGGACGCTCGGGTCTGAGTGCGAGGCGCCAGCACCAGTGGTGCTACGAGGGTGGACAGCATGGCAATAGCACGTCAGCTTGTGATGCCACTGAGGCTGGGAAAACATTGATTGAGCTTCTGGGGGTTGAACCCTGGTGCGGAGCTTGGCAAACGGCCGCGCTTGAACCCAAAGCTCGACGAAGCCAGGAGCCAACACATCAGCAGAGCATGCAGCCGACGGCTCCTTCAAGAGCCTCTCTCCGTTCACAGCCGAGGGGGGCCCCGCCGCTGTGGCCGCCGTCTGCTTGGGCTCCCGCTGGGCGTGGGCAGCCTGGGCTCGAGCCTGAGCCGCCAGAGTGACCACCGCAGCCCCTGGCGAATGCATGCGAAGGCGTGTTTCGCAATCGCCGCTAGCCTTCGCGCGATTCCGCAAAAAAAAAATGGCCATGGCCTTTGATGCAGGCATCGGCGCCTGAGCTGTGCCAAAGACTTCCAAAGCTCGTCGCCAAGCTTGCTTGAGATTCCCTGTCCCTGCCTGGCTCAGGACAGCCTGCAATGTCAGGGCCTTCTGCCTGGAGCGTTTCGGGGATGAAGCCGTGTTGCGGTCAAAGTGAACAACAAGCCGGGCGAAAGCTAGCCGCTAGCCGAACGGCCCCAGCAGTGGTGCATCCACATAGCAACTTGCGAGTTGGAAAAAAAAATCGATGGCCCACCTTCGCTTTGGCCTCGTTGGGCTTGCGGCTGTACCTCTTGTGTTTCCGACAGCGCACTCACAAGAATCCTGCTGACGCTCAGAGCACCAGCTTTGGGCGCCATTCGACCAGCCTGACACACGCACACCGAAAGAAGAGATAGCAACCGTGATAAAACGGGCCTGTGCTATCTCCCCACCTGAGCTCCGGCCGGCCTCTCCCTCTCCCGACGCTCCGCTCAGACAACTCCGCGGGGCGCACTGGCTCTGTGTGTGCTGGCTGGGCTGCTTCCCTCGCTGAGTCCCGTTGAGTTGCTAGGGCACCTCCCTCTGATCGTTCGCAGTCTGTGCTTGTTTCGTTCCCCATGCGTGCTCCAAAGTATCAGCACCCCTCCATTTAGAGGAACCTTTTGCGAGGGAGGGGCCCAAGACTGGGGAGCTCGCCCCGCGGGGAAGGTGCAGCGCATGAACCAAAATGGTTACTTGGCGGCTCACTAATAAAGTCCGCTCTCGCTCGCTTTGCTTTGCTTGAGGCTAAAGCTTGAGGCAGTCCCTTTAGCCCGCACGCTAGCACAACCTCGTACCATGTTGGTGGGACGGGCTCAGCTGTACGAGGCTTGTTCCCTCTGTTGGAGTGGAGATAGTGGAGTGTCTACTTGCTACGAGCAAGACACTTGCCTTGGCTGGTTCGAGGCGGGTTGGCGGGGCTTCTCCTGGTACTGCTCGCAGGGCTTCTCCTGCTGCGGCTTGGCCTTTTGAGTCCGGGAAGTCCTTCGTGGTGTTGGCCCGCGGCCGGCTTTTCTGCTCGCGGTTTGTTCTCCGCCGTCTTCGGTGCCGCGAGGATTCTTTTGTGGCACGTTCGGGTCCGCTGCGGCTGTGGTGATGAGCAGCTTCCTTACTGCTACCTCGTGTGGCCCCGAGCAGGCAGCGCAACATCTGCACACTCCGTTGATCATGAGCGCCTTGTTCTTGGCGGGTCCCCCGCGCTGCTGTCCGCTGCCTCCTTCGGATGGGGGTTCTGCCTTTCTCTTGTCCATCGCGGCGGGCGTCTCCTCCACGCAGTGTGTGTGGATCTCATTCTCTGACTCCCTGCCACTTCACGGACATGCCCTTGTTGGTGTTCTCCACCCAGCATTATGGAGCGTGTAATCGGCTTCGGTGCCTTTTCTGGAAAGGGGGCCTTCAGATCCTCTGTGGAGTAGCATGCTACCTCTTCCCAATACACACAGGGTCAGAAGCCTCGCGGGCCTCAAGTCCCCCACCAGGTCCCCGATTAATTAGCAAGGTTGAGACTTGCTCGCCCACTCTCTCTTTACCAGGCCAAGAGAAGGAGGCGGACACCCCCTGCAGCAGGTCTCGGCAGGATTTTCGGTTGTCCCTTAGCAGGCTCGGCTGTACTTCCAGTCGTGTGCTTAGGTCCAAAGTGCAGAGTGGGCGCGAACCCTGCCACGCGCAGGGTTGGCTGGTCTAGCTCTCTCCCTGTCTCTCTGTCTCTGTCTTTCCGTTCCCTCTACAGTACATGTCTCTTCGTATCGATGTGAGCCGAGGGCACGACCACCATTCTTTGTTTGACGAATGTGCCATGGCGGCCTCGCTTTGCATAAAAAAGGAAAGCGGGCGGCACCGCTCTGCGCACACCAAGCAGCTCGCCTGTGAGCCCCCACTCCCATTCCATCCACCAGAGTGGTGCCATGACTCAGAGCACGATTGCTAGCAAGGGCCAACACTGCGAACGAAAGCTAAGAGCAGGCATGTGTTGAGGGAGCGACTGTTGACTGGCTCCAGGACGTCCACGTCCAGTCCTGAGCCGCTCAGTGACCACAAACACCCTCGACATCCACACACTTCCACACACTTCAACAGAGCTTGCTGCGTCACCACGACGGCTGCCAGAGCCTCGTCAAAGCTTGGGTTAGCTCTCGTTCAAGGAACAGAACGATGGATGCAAGCAAGGTTCTACCATAGTAGGAAGACATTGACAGCTCAGCGTCACGACATAGGCATTGTCATTACCTTTTACCTTGTTATTTGCTTCGGTGACGTCGGGACTAAACTGCACGAAGAAAAGCATTCTGCGCTCGCAAGAGTGCTTTGCATGCACAGCGATATACTTCTTGACGCAGTGTAAGCCGTTTTGCTGCCATGTGCTCAGAAGCCTACCATGACGTGTAAAACAGCTTCAGTCAACGGCAAGACCTACAAGTGAGCGACTGGCAATTACCAGCGATATCTATCCGATCTGGCACTGCGTTCTCAACACCTGCATGCGGAACTGAAGCTGTTAGCACAGCTTATGTCTTCTCGTAGAGCCACGAGCTGCATTTCTTTTGCAACCCATTTCCACGGCATCGTACACCCTCCTCAGGATCGAGGCTTCTCCTGAACATTTCAGATTGCACTCAACTGCTTGAGCTTTTCTCTGCAGGTCATCTGGGAGTCTTCCTACGTAAGAAATCGACAGCTGCATGCAGAGGCATTTGCAACGGGTGCTTGCCGCTCGACAGACAAAGACCGACCTGCATGTCACCAAGGATTCCAGGATGATGATTGGGGCCACTCAGCCCCCTTCAATTTTGTGCCCATGCTGAGAGCCACCGTAATTCTCCACCCCAAACGCAGCCCCTTGCACTTCGCATGCATAGCAGGAGTTTTGACAAACATTTGTTTGAACACGTGCTGTTCGTCGGCATGATGCAGCGGCGGCTCCTTCTTGTTGCGGTACAAGGCTCCAAGACCGCAGCCAGCAACTTTGACCACCTGCGTGCTGCTTCACAGCATCCATGGCCATGCAAGCAAAGCGTTCGAACTGCAGGTGCCCGGTGCCTTGAATCGCACACCGGGAATGTCGCCGACGGCATGCCCGCGTCGCCCGAAGCCGGAGACGAGCACCTCGTCGTTCTCATCGATGAAGTTGAGGCAACCATCCCTGAAGCGGCAGGCATCGCAAATGACTGATACACAAAGATATCAAAGCACTCAAAGCACCCACGCAAAGCGAGATGTTCCCTTTTCCATGCTGAGCAAGCCTCAGTCGAAACGATGCCCGGCCGCAGGGCGGCTGGGTTGAGGTCTTACTTGGCAATGGCCCTGTGACCGATTTGCCAAGCGATGGGAGCCACAGATGAGAGAAGCAACTTTGAAGCAACTTTAGGCTTGCCCCGACCTGGCTTCACACCACGCGATCTGTGGACTCTCCACGGCGTCAGGCAGCACAAAAACTGCCATGTCCGCCCAGTGAAACCTTTAGTCATCTGTGTGCCTCGTCCCTAGAAGCTGGTCCAGCCAGGGCCGAGGGCTTTTGCACAGGATTTGCACCAGAAGCATATAGCGTCCAGGCCCGGGCTTCAGTTGCTCATCTGCACATGGGGGTTTTGGCCGGATGGCAGGAGCGGCTGCCGGGCCTGCGCGCGAATCGCGTTGCGAAGCGGAACGGCCCTCCGGCCCTCCCCTTTCCGCAATCTGCACTCTGCACCATCTCTGCACCCTTCTGCCCCCTGCACCTGCTGGTTTTGACGGTACTTGAAAGCGGCAAAGCCCAGCAGGGCCAGGACAACCTTATCATTATGTCAGAGTGAGACGGTCCAAAAGTTTCCAACTCGTATAGAACTGCTTAAGGTCTCAGCCACTGCGATGACGATCCAGAGCCAGGTCAGGCCTTTCCAAGACAAGTACAGGCTCTCAGAAAGTCTGAAAGCCTCTGCATCGGCCTCCTCCCCCCGATGGCTTCGGCGTGGGTTTGACCGGATTGAAACTGACGCCAGAGCTCTGGTTCACCGTGGATGCAAAGTCGTCCCAAGCCTGAGCGACCCAGCTCATGCATGAGCAAAGCAGGCTCCAATGCAAGGGCGACGTTATCGGCTCATATGCGGAACGAACAAATCCTGCCTGCTCAGGCAGGGTCGGCGGCTGGTAGTGCCACGTGGAGTAAACGTCACTGCTGAAGGCGGTCTCGGCCAGGAAAAGAAAGTCCAAAGGCCCTTTACAACGGAGCCTTCTTCAACCCTCCTCTTCCCGTCCTTCGCCTTTCCCATCCTGTCGTCCCGCCTGGTCCACCACAGCACCCTTGAAGGACTCCACGTAGCGCTGCGCAAACTTCACCATCTCTTTGTTGTCTTGCATCCTTGCAGAAACACTTGCCAGTAGGGGATGAAGACCTCTTTCAAGACTGGCAAACGCATGGCCTGGCGACCATGAGGTAGCCCTTCGCGGTTAACTCGGCATCAGAGCCGTCGGTGCCAGTCACGTTTCCACAGGTCGTAATGCCTTAGACATCTCCTACAGCGAAGGGGCAAAGGCCCCTCCGCTTGAGCACGGGACCATAGAGGCAGCAAAGAGAAAGCGGGTCTTCCGATGCACACTTCGTCTGCACTGGCTTTGCATCCCCATTGCCCTTCTCCTGAGCAGAGTGCGGATGAGTGCGGTTCCCGGAACAAGTAAGCGGGTGGAATCAGCCGCAGCCTTCAGCACGTCCCAGGGGCACATCGGCCTCATGCTTGCAAGCAACTTTTAAAGTGAAGGAACAGTTCATGCTGATCCGAGTCCACCAAGACCGATGCTGGGAGGTCGGATCCGGATATGGCCTAAACGCTTGAGGTCGCTAGCAGTAGCGGACGTAATTCCGAAAACGCATGAAGTCCAAGCAGCGGGTCGGTGTTTGGGATGTAGCAGGAGGAGCAAACGCCCCCTTGCTTGTCAGAGCTCCAGCGCAACTCTCTTTCGCCGCTGCTGCCAAGAAGCCGAACAGACGAGTGCAGTATGGACCGCCATCAGGATTCGGAGTGCATTGATTGGGCCTGCCGTTATGGCATCGTGCAAGCAACTGGCATGTTTCACGAGATTCACGAAGCACCCGAAGACGACTGGGCATTGCACACGGAACTGTCTTTGGATGCACAGGCTGGGCTCGCATCCATGGCAGCCTCATGTGGTGACCGCATCGCCCAGATTCCACATGGTACACTTCTTGATGCACTTCTTGAAAAGCGGCCTTGTCAACCAGCCAGTGGGAATCCTTCACGGAGTCCCCGAGAAAATATTCCCTGGCTCAAAAGCTGGGTAGGCAATCTTCCTACTCCGACACAGACTCGGCCAAGAGGCGCTACTGCTTCAGCGCGACGCTGGTTGTCCCGCACCTGGGCCCGATGTCGAAGATTTCAGTACTACAGTCTGAGAGCCGCCTGAGCCTCTGACTTCACACTTGCCCTTCCAGAAGGGAAGGCCCGTCTCCTTTTCCTGGGGACCCGAAAGGCGCAGCGCCAGCACTGCGCCTGCGCGTCGCCTGCCCTACGCACCGGCACCAGCCTCCTTCTTCAACTGCATGCATCGTGGATCCTCGCGGATTCGCGGATGCGACGTGGCTCCGACCGCTGAGCGTTCCTTCTGCGGGTCCTTGCAGAGATCCTGTGTTTGCTGGCAGTAGGGATGCAAGTCGTACTCGACGCAGTAGTTCGTGTTCTGCCAGGGCAGAGCGCGAATCACATGTCTGCTTCTTCTGTCCTTCTGTGACGTGTTCGCTCGGCTCCTCGATCGCAACGTCCCATTTGGGGCTCGTGGAGCTGCAGTCCTTGCAGTGGAACTTCTTCTTGTAGGTCCTAGTCTGGAACGAAGGCCCACACGACCACAAAGAGGGATGTCTCTCAAGCGCAGCCGAAGCGGCCCCTTCGGGTCGTAGCAGTTTTGTCGCCAATCCTTCCAGCCGGTGCACTTCCTGCTGGCGGATTCTGTTCTGTTCTGTTTGGAAGACCCGCAAGGACCTGGCTGAGAGTTAGAGAGAGACAGCGAGAACATATGGGCCTCTTCCCACCCGACCCGCACGGCATGCTCGTGATTCCTCTCCATGAAACACTCAGACTGCGAATCTGCGGCTGCTGAGACCGTGCTGAGACAGGGGACCATTTAGGTCGTCGATGTTCACGAAGTCCTTGTCTCCCATAGCCTCGGCGGCCCCACCCACGGTGTCCCCAAAGCGCTCGCAGCTCGCGAGACAGCAGCTCGCACGGCCTGGTAGGTATAGACGCAGCCGATTTCTCCCGTTGGATCCTTGACGGAGGAGTTGCACAATCCGCCCATGATCACCTCGAAAGAGCCACCGGTTCTGTCTGAGACCAACAGCTGAGGCCATACATCCAACCTTGTCAGGAAACTGACTGTAGTGCAGGCAGCACTTCCGTGCCCTCGGATCTCATAGAGGAGCCATTGCGATCTCCATCGGCAACGCATGTCTCCATACTTACACTTCCTCACACATGTGTCACAGTACGTGCCACCAAGCGTCGTGTCGGTGTCCGAAGGATCTGTGAAGTGTGGATTCGAGCTGCAGTTGCGCGCATCCTCACAGGCTCTTTTCGGCGCCAAGGGCTCCAAGCCCGAGTACACAGTGGACATATGCTGGGTCACAAGCCTTTCCTCTGAAAGCTCTGAAAGGATTCTGAGGCGCTGGCTTTGTCCTGTTTGCCAGCACAGCCCTCCGGATCGCAAGGCTGAGGCTTCGTCGGCGGCGCCTGGAAGCCCCAGGAGGAAAAAAGAACGAGCGAGCAAGCATCGCAAGCATCTCTGCTTGCCTCGGCCGTACATCCGTCGAAAGGCTTTACGCACTGCCAAGGCCTTCAGCGAGATCCAACCAAGGCAAAGCAGACCGGAAAACTTCAGTGTCTGGAGGGAGAACCCTCTTCTAATCTGAGAGACTCACGCCGCTACGGGTCAGAAACCGATCTTCCCTGATAGGACCGGGATAGGTAGGTCTAAGAGACGCCACTACGGCTGCGGTTGCACAGCATCCTCTAGATCGCGAGGAACCTCCATGCTCAGGCACATGTGTGCTCGGACCTAAGGACATGGGTGTGCAACGAGGACCCGGGCAGATTTGGGCAATCTCCGTCCACAGAGAACCAGTACCATGGATGGGTGAAGTTGATCTGCGGAGAATCCTGCAAGGCTCTGGCTCCGGCTCTGGGTGCCGACAGGAGTCCGAGGTGGCAGCTCCTCCTTGGAGATTCCGACGTAATCACCATTGGCCACGACCCCCTCCAGCAGGTCCTGCAAAAGACGCAATCCAGGTCCTGCAGTAGTTTCAAACACTTCGACTACTGTCCAGAGATGTGGCAACGCCATAGTCGAAGGCTCCGTAGCCTCACGGCAGCGGGCGACCAAGGAGTGGTGGAAGCGGGGGGTGGCTGAGGCCGCTGCGCCCGAAGCCAGGCATGGCCAGCTTGCTCGGGTCCTGCAGGCGCTGCGCTATGCTGCGCTCGCTGCTCCCCCATCTGGCAAGACAGCGCGCCTTGAGGATGGAATCCGGATTCCGGATTTTCATCCGGTAGTGACCGAAGGAATCAATGCCGTACTTCCTGACACCATCTCGAGCCAAGTCTGCTTCGGCTCGGGAGCAAACGAGGCCTGGAAGTTCGCTCTGGATCACCAGCAACGTGCTCCACGATAACCTCTTGATGAACGTAGCCTCGAAAGCAACTTTGCTGGTCAGCTGGTCTTTGAAACGCGGTGAAACCCGCCCGTTGCTGCTGGGGTCCGGACGCAACACACCCATGACGTCTGCCAAATTGTTGTTGGACACTGGGTTCGTCTCCTGGTGAAGTCACGTGCATGGAGGATGCTGCACGAAAAGATATGACATACCTGTCTCTTTCTCTCGCACAGTCTATCTTGGTCCTTGCCGTCCGGAGGCTTCGCCATCGCACGGTACAGGTCCACCGTTTGCACCAAGTCATCTGCTGCTGACACAATGCCTGGGACCACCCGAAGCTACGAGAATCGTGACGCATATCTTCAACTCTGCCTATGGAGGCAGTCAACAGAAGGGCAGCCCATCGCCCTTCAGGCCAGGCCAAACGAGACAGGATGTGCCGCGGCCGACGCGACTCTGAGATCTCAGCGGGCTGGAAGTGCTGCACTGCCAGACTCCATTCTGTCTTCCTAAGGACTGTTCACCGTTCTCTGAGCCGAAACGAATGTCGCAGTCCTGACACTGGCATGCCTCATCTTCGGTCCGAAACCCACTGGCCAACATCGCACACTTGCTGTGCCTGGGGACGAACGCTGCAATCTTCTTGCCGTTCTTGATCAGTTGCACTCGGCAGCACCTCGACGAAGCAACAAAGCGATGGCTGAAAAAGCGAAGTGGGCAGGTTGAGGCACGTGCTTTCGGATGGCTGAGTTCGGCTGCTTCGCCTGTCAAGACTACAGCAGCTGCTAATGGTGCCAAATGTTCGGGCAGGCTGTCAGGCGGCGCTTCGCCTCAATGCCGATCTTCTCCACCACGATGCCCTTGGCATGAGACCTTGCGAGAACAACACGGTGCACAACCTTGACCGATACGAGTCAGTACCTCCACTGATTGAGTGTGCTGACGTTCCTCCGAAGGGGTTGCACTTGTACTTGGTTCCCAGGTTGGCCTTCTTGTAATCCTGCCACGCGAGCCACAGCGTCAGATTTGGTTTCTGTCGCTTCACGGCAATGCATGTGACGTCCTTGTCTGCCCAGAGTGACTCCCTGCGGTGCACCCGCATCTTACGAGCACAGCGAATGCCACGGGGCTTGCCTTCGAAGCACAGCAAAAGAAGCAGAGGTTGCTCCGGAAGAAATCAGTTCGGATGGCACCATCATCGAGCTGCACATTTGAGGGTGGACGTCACTGCTGTCTGGGCTCTGGGCCCATCGTGCAACGCTTCCAATCAGCCGACGCCTTGATGCAGAGGCGTCCGAGGTCTCACCGAGACTCTGATCAACTTAAGTAGGCTTCGCCTAGGCTTCGCGCAGTCTTCAGTGGCACTCGGCCGTGGTGGTTGTCTCCGCTGCAGCCAAAATGTGCGTTGCCAGAGAGCGGTTGCGAGCAGAAGTTGCTACCGCCGCTCCGCCGGTACACAACGAGTCACGAAGCAATATCTTCCCATGCTTGCCCTCCGACTTGCGCCGATGCGAGATGTCCCTGTAAAACGCTGCTTCACACATGATGACTAGGCACCTCCCTGCCATTCTTCTCGGAGGCCGTACAGGACTGGAAAGCTGTGTTATAGAAAGCATTGAAAATGGAGATGGGTTGGTGAATCAGCGCATAACTGTACGGATCTCCTGTCCAGGAGAACTCCAATCAAACTCCGCCCTCCATTGGCTGAGTCGAGATGTAGAGACGCAGATTCACAAGCGTTTATGGTCTCCCGTGAGACGTTCAAAACTCCGGTAATGGCTCCCAGAGACCCTCAGCTGCTAATTTCCAGTATTCATCATCAAGCAAATGTTGTCTCCCTTCAGCAAGATACGACCTCAAAGGGGCCGTCGAGAGAGCGAGACAAGAGACAACCGGCATGCCCGGCATGCCCCCATCCTTTCTCAGGGCCAGGGCCGATTGCACGGCGTGTCTTCTTCTTGACCATGATCTCCTCCCAGGCAACCGAGGCCGAGGTCACTGCGATGATCGCAGACACGCACCCAAAAAGTGGGGAGGATTGCTGTCCTATGCCTTCTGCTAGCTAGACATGCTACTCGAAGAACAAACGTGGACAGACACTTCAGTCAGCCCCGGCACAGGCACAGCGCCAGCAACATGCGCAGTGAGTCGCAATGGGACTTGCTCATGCGAGTCCTCCGCATCATCGATGACGAGGTTCATGTACCTCCAGTGCAGCGAAGGCCCGACCGAAACAGTACTAGCCTCTACTGGCTTGGAGCTTGGCTCATCGAAGCCCAGGATGCGGCCCTCGATCCGCAAATCCGACTGCTCGTGCAGCCAGACCTGCACCGGACTGCAGATTCTGAGCTCACTCTCTCGAGGCTTGGTCCACCTGCACGCGAGACCGGTTCTGCAGATACCTGAAGATCTGGTTGATGGGTAGGGTCCTTCGGCACGTGACGGCTAGTTCTCAGCTTTGCATCAGCATGGTTCTTGCAACATGCAGTCATGATCTTCTGAAGCTTCTTGTTGCTGATCGCCATGGCTGCAACCGTTTTCTGTGATCGTCTCGTCAGCGTAACCCGGGCTTCTCGTCTTCAGCTTGGGCCGGCAACAGCAAGAGTCATCTGTGCTGAACAACTCCAAATTCCAAGCGTCCCTTCGGCATTCCTGCAGTTTCTCGTGCAGACAGTGACAGATCTTTGGAGCGAGCCGGCCAATCGTGATCAGATGCAGACGTCAGTACCAGCTTCCAGTACTCGCAAATGCCGAGTCAATGAGGAGGCCTACTGAGGACTCGGTTTGCTAGGCGACATGTGCTGCTAATTATGTCTTTTCCGAAAATGTCGAGTTTCTTCATGCTGGTGGACGGCTCACTCAACTCCACCGCCACCAGCTCTGCAATCGTCTGGGTCTCAAAGAACTTCACGACGTCAACGCAAAGTCCTCGACATCAGTCAGACGCACACCAATCTGAACGGAGGGTAGCACTTACGTGTCCTGGGGTCTTGAAGGTGATGTGGCGGCGGTTTGTTGATGCACTGCAGCCAACACGTATTCCTGAAGCAGAGTCCCAAGCAAAAAGCACAAGCGAAGCGACGATGTTAAGAGCGCACAATCTGGGAAATGATAGATCGATCGAGTCTCTCTGAGCAGCCCTGTGATAGCTATACGCTTCCTGGTACATCCGCTGTACCACTTCCATGCGTTCAGATTGGTTGCAGTCCAGGTGATGCCCTTTAAACTCAATAACTCGGGCAGCTTCGGTTGGATCCACACTGTCTTTTCCATTCAAGTTCAAGACGGTGAAGTCACCGCGGGAAGTCCTTTCGGGTATGAAATACTTGGGTGCCATCAGAGCTCCAGCAAAGGCCGAGGGTTTGCTGAGAAGCGGGAACCATATGCAAACCACTAAGAACTCGAACTCCATGGTGCTCGCAACCTCCAGGTCTCGGCAAGCCGCTGCCCTTTCTGGCGAGCGGTGCAGTAATAAGGGGGTGTTCAAGGCAGCCTTGGTGAGCGCGTCTGCCCCACGGTGCGTTGCGCTCAGGAGGATCAGATCTGGCAAGACGTTTCTGGCCGCACGGCGTGCCTTCTTCTTGAGAGTGTCCCGCAATCGGATCTCATGCTTAGTTCCCTGGACCGCTCCATGCATGTGAGAGAGCACCAACATATGCATCTCGAGGTGCCTTAGCTGCAGACTGTCGAACTTGTCACGCTGAGGGCTCAAGCAGCCGCGGCGCGGCTTGAGGATCCGCGCAAATCTGGCACGCTCCTCGACGTCTACCATGCCGCTGCTCGGCAGCAGCAGCTCTGCACTTGTAGCCAAGCCTTGCTCGATCGCCGCCCAGCGGTTGAAGCTGCTGGCCTTTTCGCACCAACAAGGATCAAAAAGGTTCCCTTATTCCCACAACAGCAGCACAAAACTGCCAACTGCCGCTACACGGACCGCACTCGCCTACTTTCGTTTGCCTCCTCGACCTAATAGCGCCCACATCTTTCAATGATTTCCACCTGTGCTTAGTTGCCGCTTCCCTTCCCAGTCTGATTTGTGTCAGAATGAGGATTCTCAGTTTCGTTTATCCTGAGCGTTTGGTATGTGTTGCCGGGGCTTGGGAGTTCGCGGTCGTCACTCATTTAGGCTAGGCTTCAAGATAATACACTTGTACTTCTTCCTGGGTTCCGAATTCAAGCCCTTCGGTTCAACATACCTCAAGCAGGCCATTCTTTTGGATTTACAGGAGTTTGGTGTTTGGCACGCCTGTTAGTTGGCGCTCAAGAAATTTTCCTGCTGCAAATTTCCACGAGGTGCAAGAAGCGGATGCCACATGCCAGAACTCGCTATAAACAGCTCCCACAAAGAGGGGCAAATCGCGCATGCTGCATGCTGTTCATTGCGACATCCTACACAATTGAAAACCCGACGTTGCACCACCGATTCGTGCCAGGGTCGACTCGCACAGATACAAACAACTCTACCAAACTCAATGAGATGCCGAGTTCGCAAACGCCTCGTTCACTCGATTTGCCGCCGCTAGGAGACGATGGCTTGCCCGATGGGGAGCACAAAACCAATCTGTTCTGAACAACAGGCCCAATGTCGAAGAAGAGCGTGCCCTTCTCTTCTGTGCCCATGGAGGGATGGAGGGATGGATGATTGGACGGATGGATGGATGGATGGATGGAGGGATGGAGGGATGGAGGGATGGATGGTGAGCAGATGCAATCTGTCCCTGTTGGACTCTCCCTAATGTTCTGCATTGATCCTTTCGGCTCTTTCCACAAGAGTTCTGCACCTCAGATGTATAGTACAGCAGGCCCTGGGCCTTTTGCTTGCCATCGGCTCCTCTTCTTCTTGATGTCTGATGCTGTGCTTTCATTGTGCATTCGGGGGCCTGGGGGCGCTTGAACCTTCAGGGCTCTTCTCTGAGCCTGGCTCATGGTCCGAGCGAAGTCCCCGTTTTCGCCACTCCCAGAGATGGTGTCGGTCCTCCGCACGAGCGAGCGAGCGAGAGAGCGAACGAGAGCGAGAGAGAGAGAGAGAGAGAGAGAGAGACAGACAGACAGACAGAGAGACAGACAGACAGACAGACAGACAGACAGACAGACAGACAGACAGA